TACTCTATGTTGGAAGAAATGTGGTTTGAAAATTGGGACTTGCTGTATGAAACATAGTGTGCTGGACTCTAAGGGCATGTCCAGATGAGCGGAAATGTGTGCGTTTTCCTGCGGACAAGTAGCAGCGGCACACCTTGTGCCGCTGCTACTTGTCCATGGGAATGCCCATGCCATGCATGCTCTGGTGCATGGCAGGTTACCCTGTGTGATGTAGAGGAGCCGGGGCCAGCACACTTGTTTGCCCCAGCAGCCTTACCTGCAGTTGTGGTGGCCTCCAGGAGCTACAGCCACTGCACTTCTGTAGGAGGAAGCAAAGCTGCAGCCAGAGCATGGTTTTGGGTGGTGTGCACCATAGCCACATGTGCCGCCCCATTTTTTTTCCAGCATTGTTTTTTTTTTACCCTGGGATCTCCTCCCTGTTGCAAAGCAGCAGCAGTATAAATTGCATAGAGAATTCCTGCACGTGCATGAGTATGCCTGCATGCCCGGTGTGTCTGTGGTGCCACATACCACATGTCCACTCTCATCTAGCTGCACCCTAATATTCTTCAGTTTACAAGAGCAGGAATAAGTCTTTTTATTTTTCTTACTATAAATGACAATTATCAATTACAATGATAAAGAAATAAAGAGAAGCAGAAGCCAAATTTAGGTTTCCATCCCTCAGCAGTCCCAGAAATTCATGAAGTGAGAAAAAGAAACTCCATGAAAATTGACTCTTTATTACATTTTCTGTATCCTCAAAAATAGTAATCTGAGATAAAGAAGGAGAACCAGGAGAAAAACCATGGTAAAGAAAGTCCCTCCAGGAAGCAGCAGGTTGGTGATACATGGGAATGTGGGCCATGGTGGTGAGGAAGTGCTCCTCTTTCTTTCTGAACTGGCACACAACATTTTATAAAATAAAACACAAGACTATCTGGGATCAAAAGTTCACTCAATTTTCTCCTCACCACAACCTACACATGGGAATTATTTTGTATGTAAAATACATCAATGTGCATGGGTGACTGCTGCCTCCCAAGTCTGGGGTGGGGCACCAGACTGCCAACAGAGGGGAGGTCCGCCAGCAGTTGATTGCCGACCAGAGGGGGTGGGTCTCCCAGCGGCCAATTGCCGAGCTCAGAATCACCAGTGGCGAAACCGGCAAACCAGAAACGCACTTCTGCCTACACTTCTGGTTTTGCAGCTGGTGCTGCCAGGGGATGCATGGCCAATCTCAGGGGGTGCACATGCAGCCCCTACACATCGCCAATGTCAACATGGCACAGCACTGTGTATAAATATTATCCTGGGATTAGACAGTTCTGGAGAATAAAGGTAGAGATCTGACTTGCAATAATGTTCTCACCAAAGAGTGCTCCTTACTGCTATGAAGATGGATTTTTTTATATTTAAGAAGCCAATCATTTTTTCTTTGGATTGTCTGCCTTAACCAAGAACTAATATGTAACTTCTAAATGTGCATATTTGCAGAGGATTACTATTAGTTTGTGCTAGATACCACTATGGAAGCCACTAATTAACCCTGATGATATTTGTTTAAAACCGTTTCCACTTACAGTGTTATTTTTCTTAAATTATAGTGAGATGATACATTAGATAAACATCTTTAGCACACTGCATCAAGATGTTCCAAACCAGTCAAATAGAAATTTAGAGGAGGAAAACGAAAGCTTTCAACCTTACATTACAGGACTAAGTATTTATTATGAAAAAGACATCAATCTCATAACTTTATACACAAATTCTCAAAATCACAGAACAGCATATAATTTTATTACCCACATAATAATTCATAAACTGGTAACATAAAATATTAGGAAAAGAGAATATTACCAACTATTACATAATGTTGAGACTCTTTAATTTATGTTTACTCAGAAGTGTGCATATCTCTAGGAAATGCTATTCTGCTTATCGGACAGATTTATTTTATTGCAGGAATACTTACCTAAGCTGTTTAAAAGCCTCAGCTCTGACAAGTGGTGTCTCGACAGAATGTTCAAAAAGAGCTCCTTCTGGCCCTGAAAGACAAGATAACATATTCAAGAAAATTACAGTACTGTTTTGTATGCCATTTTAGTATTATAAAGTAAGCTTCTATGCACTTATAAAAAAAAAGACATTTTAGCAAGATAGATTAAGTTCCAACACTCCTGACTTATTTGGAATAGGCTGATACCCAAAATCAAAATGAACAGCCTAAGTGTAAATCTCTAAAATGAATAAAAAATCTTCCTGACATATGCAAATTGGTGAGTAAGGTGAAGCCAAAATGATCTGTTCGTGTTAAAACACACTAGGTAAGTAGGATTTTAATACTGAAGTTTCCATTAGAATTGATATCAGTCATACAACTAAAATCCCACAATTTTTTTGAAAATCTCATATAGTTCTGCTTTAGGTAATGCAGCTTACTGTATGGTAATCTGTATGTAAGGTCACTAACTGTATAGACTCCCTTTCTCCTCTGGTAAAATTGATGAGAAAATAATGGTGTTTAAGCATTAGGAATGAAGGTAGGAAAGTACCATGTTCACCATCAAACACTAGAGATAGATATTTATGAAAGATTTTGAATATTATTCATAAAAGTAACATGAGTTCAATTTAAAAAATCCCTAAATATTTATTTAATATTTCTGCTTTACTGTTAACACAAACAACATAACAATAAGCAATAAACAACAATCAATAAAAACAATAATCAATCTAGAAATGCAAAAATCTAGAACTCTTGGTTCAGAAATGATAACTTTTATTAAACCAACTAAGAAATCCCCCCAAAATTCTCTTTTTCTGCAAGCTTTCTGCAAAAGTCCCCATAGGTAGGAAATAAATTATTAGATTTCCTTTTTAATTTAATCTCTTTTGATATCATATGTAAAGGTTTTATAAGACCATCCTGGAAAAATCAAATAATATTTATCTGGTACAATAAGAAACCTGGAACTATTACTCAATGTTATATTGCCTAAACAGTGGAATACACAACCATTAAGGAAAATTTAATCTACTCCAAATATAAACTAAGCTTCTCTACTAGTCTAAACAATTCATTTAAAAACCTGTATAATATTTATATTTCCTGCACATTCTGTACACAAAAAACCTGTAACAACTACTGAATCGAATAGCTTACGTCTTAAACTATTATCAGGTTCATCCTGGCTAATATGGTTAGGACATATTTAGCTATGCAACCATTAATGAAGTGAGCACTCCTGTATACCAGAATAAAATTGGGTCAACATAGCGTTGGTTACTAACTGTAATGCACATTCAGGACTTAATCTGGGCCCAAAATATATTTAGAGTGACAGCCTTCAGGACTGCCATAGCCTACTTCAGGTTCATGGCTGCTGACGCATGAATTTATCCTGAGGGCCTCTGTAGATAAATACTGCACAGCATTATGACCCAATCACCAATTCCCTTCCCAAGGGCAAAATCCAAAACTCTGATTTCTTAAATACGTCTTTGAATTTATTGCTCCCGTTTTATATGCTATGGCCATGTCTAGACACGCAGGGGCATGTGGTTTCTGGTGTTGCAAACCTCTGTAGCACTGCAAACCACATGCAGTGAATGTTAAAACATGCTCCATGCTGCAAATTTGCAGTGCAGGGTCAAAATTTGCTAATGAGATTTCCTGATAGAAACCCTCTCTCCCCATCCCCCACAAATGGAACAAAAGGTGGTGCAATACACAGAGGCCAGGCCTCCATGCTGTCTGACCTGTGCTCCTGCTACTCCAGGCAACTAGATATGACTGCTACAGCCAGCATGAGTGTTGGTGCCAGCCCCCCAGCTCTCCCTGGCTGAAGAGCTTGGGAGTGGCTGGGCAAGGCAGTTTGCCCATTACAGGACAATTTGTGCCTCAACAAAGTGCATGTGTAGGGGTGTGTGGTGCAGCAATCTGTGCCACTGCAAGTGCATGTCCCTGCATATCTGGATGTGGCCTATATACTTTTTAACCTTTTTACTCCTTATTGCTATATTACTTGCTCACTTTTCAATCTGCTCCTTCACTGCAAGTCTACCTTATTCTAAGTTATAATATTAATGATGATGATAACATTAGAAATGTGCAACTTTTAGATGTAAATTACCATAATTTTTTTTGCTTCATAATATTAAAAAGACACAGAACTTGCAAAGCAAAATATAAACCAGAACATCTAATGGTCCAGTGGGACAGGTTTACCACATAGTTAGCTTGTGGAATAATAGTACGGGTACTCGCCTGTGGGCACATCTACACGTCACCCTACAGCAACATAGCAACATGCTACATTTCTATACAGCGTGCCTTGAGGACATAGCAATCACATGTGTCTACAGGTGATCACCAGCTACATCACCATAGTGGCATGCTCCCTGGGTATAATGTGCTGCTACGGCGACATAGTGGTGAAATCTAACCATGTGCCATGTGCATGGCACAGAAGTACTAAAGCATGGTGCCATAGCAATGTCACAGTATGGCAATGTGTAGACACTCCCTGTGAGGCGTAAGGTGTGAATTTGATTCCCATTGGGTTAAAGAGGGCACTAAACCTAGTCCTGACACTTCCTTAGGAAGTGCTTAAACAATAGGCTATTATATCAAAGGTGGATGATAGCACCACCTCCTTCTCTCGAAATTCTTTAAAGAGAACAGAGAACTGTATTCATGTCTTTTAAAAGGATGGATGCAGGCTTCTCAGAAAACAGTCATTAATGCCAGGTGTTCCCTGTTGGCTAATTCTAGATGGTTCCTTGCTTTGTTTTATGACTGCATTATGAGATGCTTAATTATGCCATGCATTGTACAAGATGCCTAGGTGCCTAACTCAGGATTCTGGATATCATTCTGGAGGCCAAGTGCCTAGAAGTTGGATGTTGCGGTATTTAACTTGTATATTTACCCTTTATTGGATCTAGACATATGTCTCTCATTACTCCATCTGGGTGGTTTTGTTGAGTGTGACAGAGCATTGGCACAAATATAAAGAAATTTAGGCCAACCCTAAGGGTTATTTTGAACTCAGGAACAGTAAGTTGTGACATAGCTGGCAGCAGGTTGAAGCTCAAAGTTCAGCAGAGCTGCTGGAGTCATGCTGGATTGCTGCTGACATTTGAATTTACTGGTTTTGAGTGTCGACAGGTGGTGGGTATGGGCTTGATGCTGGCCCTAAGGTCAGTCCTAGCCATTATTGTAGACATAGCCTGTATGGATTAATATAGATTAATGCATGTATTAATGTGTTGTGCCTGTATTGTGCCATGCTGGCAGCGCCCGGTTATTTTTAGCTGCTATGTCACTGTAGCAATGCGCTATACTTAGGGAGTGTGTTGCTACAGCAGCATAGTGGTGGTGTCACAGTTTTTGCCTGCAGACGCTATGTCGCCATAGTGCATTGCTATGGTGATGCAGTGTCACATGTAGACATGCCCACTGAGAAGTATAAAATGCATGAAATCTACATAAATCTCTTAAGGCTTCTTCATAAATTTTAAGTCTTTCTCCTTTCAAAATAACACCATTTTTTCTTAAACATAAACAATCACTTTACTTTCTCTTTCTATTATTATTGTTCTGGTAGTGCCACATGGTGGCACTGATTCATGGAGTCTCCCAAATAGAGCCGATTAACAATTTTGAAGTCAAAATAAATGCATCAGAAATGCTGTCTCAATGGAATTGAGACATTCTGCAAAATGTGGACGTTATTAAAAACTTTCAACTCTAAATTTACTTGATAAGCAAAGGTTTTCCTTTGATTTTGAGAAAGTTCCTTCATGTCTTATTCATCTTTTGCAAGTTGATTTTGGTGCAAGTGCAAGTCTTTCTTGTGATAACAGAAAACAGTCTTGTAAATTGTTCTTTTGGCAATTTAAAAGTATGGGTCTGATATGGATCAGTCATCAGCCTATGCGTTTTCTATCTCAGCAAAATTTCACTGTTATGGTTTTGTTGTGTGTTTGTAGTGCTGTTATGACGAAGTGGATGCTCATCCATTGATATTTGAATGACGATTTATCTGGCCAGTGCTCACAAGTTGCTTCCAAGTCCATGATTTATCATGAGGAAATTGATCTTGACAGATTCTCCCTGATGTAGTCCTGGAAAGACTTTAGCATAGTATTTAGTTGTAACAAGCTTTCAACTTCATGCCTGCTGAAATGCTTAATTTCTTTTATCTATGGTGGTCACTGTGCTGGTTTCTGACATTTCATTCAGGTCCCAGAAATCTGATTTATGCTCAAAAACCATGATATTTGAGTTGAAAAGACTGATTCCTAATTTGGTCCCAGGGCAGCTGGTAACGATAGGTACTTGATAGTTCTTGTATTCTATAGAGATACCTGGGAAAAGACCCTTTTGTGTAGGCATCTCCTGTATTGCTTTTACTTTTGGGGGTCACTTCCTAATCCTAGGGAAGTCAGCAAGTGTTTTATGCTGTGAGGGTTCAGCCGGGAAGTAGGTGGCCAGGCCTGTGGTAGGCCACTAGGAGAAACTAAAGGGTCAGCTGGGTGAGAGCACAGATTATTGGAGCATCAGGTCAGGGTCCAGGTCAGAGGAGGTGAGAATGCAGAAACCAAGTTTCAGGAGAGCTGACAGCGGAAATCCAAAATGTAGTACAGGAAGCGGGCTGAGATCAGGAAACAGGAGTCACAGAGTTAGTGTTAAATTTGAGGAGAAATGCAAAATCAGGATGAGGAAAAGCCAAAGCTGAGTCAGGAGACAGAAGATGTAGACAGAGTAGTGAACACAAGGCTTGCCAGAACAGACTAAGATTGTGTCAAGGCATGCCTTGCTTAAAAGGGGTGTGTCATATTCAGCAGCTAATCTGGTTGCACATAACTGGGGCCGTCGCATTAGCCAGGGATCAGGGCAGGCATGATAACCCAAGTACTCGGCCTAGCCAGGCATGCCTGATCAGAGGCCCTGACACATGCAGTGTTCCACAGATAATCGCAATTTCATCGTGGTTCTTTCTGCTTTCGAGAAAGATGAGGTTATTGTGATAATCTGCCG